TTGAACCTCATGAGGTTCCTCTCTGCCCAACTCACCAGCCTGTCCAGGTCCCTCTGGAGATCATGAAGTCCAACCATAAACTTGGGAAGCTTTTTAGAACTTGAGCATCATCTAGTCTTCATAACATATATGTTTGACAATGGGAACTTTGGATAGTAATATTTTCTTTTATTCTGAACAAATGCTATTTTCAGTCCCTGTAACTGCATGGCAGTTAATAACTCAAAGAGGAAACTCCTTCATACCTCACTTCTGGTCTCCTCTCAAACCTTTGTTGGACCTCTAATGTTGTCATGAGTGTTAGGCAGCCAGTTTCATAAGGAAGAACATGCTATGAAAGCAGAAAAGTTGGACTTACTGAGTAAAGAAGTTCTAACATGYTCATCTTTTCTAACTAAAACTCACATCATTTCACTTCTGAGCTTTTTCTAGAGGACTATCCAAAAAAAAATCTGGAAAAAAAAAGTGTTTATTTTCTCTTGAAGAAGAGATTTTTCTCCTAAGAGGGTCAAATTCTCTCCTGGCTGAGACCCCTTTGATTTTTGGTAAAGCAGGAATGCAAAAAAAATGTGGCCTTTAGTTTTAAACTTCACATATATCTAGAAAACCAGACACTCTTGGCAGGCCCAGCTTTCTAGCCTTAGTGGTTTCAATGCTTATAGTGCCACCAGGTCTTTTGTCCTATGAGGTTTTTTTTCAGCAAAAGCAGAGAAGTGTGAGGGTCCTGACATTTCCTATATCTCCAAAGCAAACGAAATCAGTATTTCCAGACATTCCCTTCTCTGTCCAGCTTGCATCGGGACTGTTGTTGGTGGGACTTGCCCAGCAAGGTGGATGGGGAATGGCTTGACACCAAAAACAGCCTCATGGGGAGGGGAGGGTTTTATAACCAGGATTTATTTCCCCCGACTAGATCTCTGTGGGAATGAGTGACATTCATGCCAGCAGCACTGCGGCAATGATGGTAAGAGGAGAAATGAGCCTTCACTTTACCATTGCATACCTTTGGCACGCAAAAAAAATGTTCATCAAAATACAGCTTGACACTGTCTACATGGTTGAAGTGAAGCATGTGGCTAAGTATTTGCAGGATCTGGCTTTTTCTTATAGCTCTTTATACAGAAAAAAAAAAAAATCGCAAAGTGTTTTTTTTTTTCTCTTTACCAGTCACCTTACATGAAAAACTCCATCTGCTAAACACTACATATTGCGATTGATAGTTTTGCTATGTAAACTTGAGTATGGGTTTTGTGAAACAAATGCCTACTCAGTACTGGAGCTATCTGAAATGGCATTCACAGCAAACAGGCCCTAACTTTATAAAGAAAGAGGAAAAGAAAGAGCCCAATGTTAATGGAAGTGGTTCTTATTGGCGTATGGACGATTTGATGTGCTCAACAGGAAAGGAGTTAGACAATTAAGACCTTTATGACAATACCTTCCCTTTAATTGTGGCTGCCTTAATTGACTAATCCAATTAATCAGAAAATCCTYGGGAACTGATCTGAACCTAATGATACTTAATGGCATTGAAGGCAGCTTAGTGAGGCGGTAATTGCACGGAGCTTGGCATCCCCGGGATGCCTCGGTGGTGCTTCTGTTGGAGGAGACACTAGTGTCTCCACTTAAAAAAAGCCCTTTTTTAAAATAAATGGGGGACKCGGGCTGGTTTGGATGAGAGGCGCCTTGCAGGGCTTCCCAGGAGGGTCCATAGAGCTGGATGCACCGAGCCCGGGGGCGCTAAGCACTGGGGGGCTCTGCGTTTCCCATGTCCCTCAGGAGAACCAACATTGGAAACACCAAGCAGGGATGGGCTGCCTGCCCTTCCACTACATCCAGCTCCAACACCCGCTTTAACAACGCCGGATTTTAACCTTTACGCTGGGTTTCACGCTTTAATTACGCTATTAAATGATAGCGGTGGTATCTGGCTGGTTACTACGGGTTAACTTCAACCGCCGCCACCAACGGCCGCCGCGCCAGCGTCAAC